TGGCAGATATGGGATTCTCTCCTGATCAATTGTTGTTCTTTTTATATCATGCTTTTGTGCCTTGGTCCCCTGAGGTTTCCATTGAGACGGTGGAGTACGTCATAGATGAGGACAGAACAAGTGGCCCTGGGTCTTAAAAGCTCAGTAAATAGTAACAAGCCAGAAACAAGTAAGAAAAACGTTCAAGATGATCAGTGTTACCAATCCGATCACTAGTCACATAACCGTCGTTCCCCAAATCAGGCAGACGGCACAGTATAATAACCTGTAACTTGTAATCGACTCTATTCAATTTAAAATGTGCATCAAAACTGAACTTCATTAAAAAAATGGTTTTGTTCTGTTAACCAAATAGACATAAGTAAATTTCCTAAAGATGCCGAGGTTTGAGGATACATGATCTTCTAGTAGAAAATCTGTCTGTCCCAGAGTGGATGGCTTGTCCTAACAGAAATATATTAAAGAGCTTGTGAACTGAAATAAGAGCTGAAATGTCAGGGCTTTGGTGTGATAATTGCAACAGAGTCAACATAACCACATGTGGATCATTGGACAGGATGTGTCTTACACTTGCCCTGGGAGTTGCTAGTGCAGTTTCATGTGAAATCTATTTTAATCTGAGGTTCTGCAGAAAATCCCTGAAAAAAGTGTGGTGGATTTTTTGGTGTACAACACTGGATTACAATTTATGCTTTCATAACCTGAAGCATGTGGTCACAATGCGGTCTGCTACACTTACCTTAACAAGCTTTTCCCAAATGGTCTTAAGGACAGATAGCGATGCTTATTTTGTATTTTCCCAGTCACCTCAGCTTCAGAGAAATATTTTGTTACTGATGTGCTCTTGTTTTCGTGGTTGCATTTTGCCCTTGTGTTTTTTCCTTCAAGGTTTCTATATTGCACCGTGTCTATGTTTTCCTTGACTATTGGCTTTGTTACCTTTTCTCCTCCTGCCCCTGTGAATGGTGTGGATTCGCTTTAACTACTGCAGAGCCTTTTTTCATGTACCATAATGTAATTAAGTATTTGTGTAATCAAGATTAAACTACTGTAAGTTTTGTACTGTATTGAAGGAGAGTCTATTCCAAATAAATATTATTTACTTGACTGGCTGATTTTTACTACATCCAGTGATCCGCTAAATGTGTATGATTTACTTGCTTGGCTGCAATTTGTTATATCCAATGATTAAGATACATATATATTATTTACTTGACTGGCTGCTATTTGTTTTATCAATGATAAAGATACATATATATTATTTACTTGACTGGCTGCTATATGTTATATCAATGATAAAGATACATTATATATTATTTACTTGACTGGCTGCTATTTGTTATATCCAATGATTAAGATACATATATATTATTTACTTGACTGGCTGCTATTTGTTATATCCAATGATTAAGATACATATATATTATTTACTTGACTGGCTGCTATTAGTTATATCCAATGATTAAGATAATGATATACTTGGCTATACTTGACTGGTCAATGATGTCAGAGAGAGGCTAATGATGTCAGAGAGAGGCCAATGATGTCAGAGAGGCTAATGATGTCAGAGAGAGGCTAATGATCTCAGAGAGAGGCTAATGATGTCAGATAGAGGCTCATGATGTCAGAGGGAGGCTTATATTGCAACCAGAGCGCTCTCTATGGCTTTGATTGCAGCCCAGTCTGTCAGCCAATCAGAGAGATGCTAATGATGTCAGAGGGAGGCTAGTCTGTTTACCAATCATGTTGCTAAGAGACCAAACACAAGCTCATTTCGTTGGGATCCGGCTGTAGACTTCACACCGGTAGGACAACACCCAGATAGACATTTGCGTAATACAACTACAGATGTTTGCAAACACATCGGACATTATCATTTTGGCCATTTGACCACGTAAACAATTAATACGGTTGTTGATACGGACGCAGCCGAGTGGAATATTTAAGATAGCTAGCTAGGTAGGTGGCTAGCACCTGGATGGTCAGGCATAATTAGTATTACCTTTCAACTAAATTTGTAAGTTTGTTTTCGCGTGGGGTTTTCACTTTGTGTGTCCTCTTGAGTTGTGAAGTTCATTTACAATCCGTTAAATGTAACGGGCATAGGTTATTCATATTTGTCTTCCAACGCCTCTTAATGGTGAAAGTAATCTAAAAGTAATTGAAAGTAATCCGATTACGTTACTGAGTTTGAGTAATCATACGTTTCTTTCGTAATAACACATGTGGACTGGTTACTTGTATCTGTAACAAATAACATTTAAAAAGTAACTTACCCGACCTTGCATACTTCACATACTGAATATAGGGCACCAGAACCCGAAGTCGACCCAGAGTTATACAAAAACAGGGCCCGAACCCAGAAAACGGGGTAACCATGCCAAAAAAGGCTGCGAAAAAAGGAGGGAAGCAAGCAGGGATGACGGAGGAGGAAAGAGTCCTGTACATGCAGCAGAGGGTCCAAGCTGAGGATGAAATGGCCAAAAGAAAGGAGGACATGCTCACTCAGTTCCTCAAGGTACATTGTTCAAGATTGTAAAGCAATGAAAATCGCACTGCCTTATTCAACGTTATTTTGTCTCAAAACGTTCTTGCGTTACTTAAAAGTACCCTGACTTTTTGCTAAAATAGTATATTCTGTAATTGCAACCAGGATAAGTTGCAGAAAGAGGAGCGCAACAGTTCAGTGAATCTGCACAAGCTGACTACCCAGTGGCGAGCAGTTCTCCGCCAGACACGGTTAGTTGAACTGCGCGCTGACATTGATATACTCAGCCAGACCTTTGAGAGAGTGCTGGACCGGAAGAACAGTGTCATAAAGGTAAGGCGTTTCATTATTTCCCCCAAAATCTGAGCACCGTGTGAGTGTGCGTGTGTGTGTTTATGTCGATCCACAGTCATGTCTAAAATGGGGCCCAGTGAATGTAGTAATGCCAATGTTGTCTATAAGTGACAGGGCACAGATATATATCTTTTCAGGGGGCCCAGGCATCCTTTTCACATGACAATATGTCACTATATGTCTTTTGTCTATATGTCTTTTGTCTATATGTCTTTGTATTATGTAGTGTTTGGTAAGTGACCTGAGCGAGGCCGAGCACCAGTCAGCCCAAGCCATTCGCTCTCATCTGCATTGTGTGGACTGTTTGCTGGCTCTGCAGAAGGGTCGGCTGGCATCCCTACAGCAGCAATGGAGCAGCAGCCTGGAGGAACTGTGTGCTGAGTTCAACATTGAGAGGTGTGTATAAAACCTTTACACAGACTTTATCAAGCCAGACATATCCGTCCAGTCTCTTTAATATAAAATATATTCGTCCAGTCTCTTTAATATAATATATTTCCGTCCAGTCTCTTTAATATAATACATATCCATCCAGTCTCTTTAATATAAAATATATCCGTCCAGTCTCTTTAATATATATTAATAACTATGTTCCACTACTACACTATTGCGTGTAAAAGCTTTTCAAGCCCTCAAGCACGTTTAGAAGTAGCACCCCTGTTGTATATGTGAATTGACAATTGTTTGTGTGATTTTTAGGGAGCAGATCCTCTCCCAGCACAAGACAGAGTCTGTGTACCAGGAGGATGTGACCTTTGCCATGGAGCAGCACTACACAGATCTGGACGGGGAAGCTCGTCAGGACCACCAGAGCACCAGAGATGAAATCAAGAACAGGGTAGGGGAACAACTTACATAGACAACATCAGAGCCAACCTCAGAGCCAACTTCATAGCCATCATCATAGCCAACATCAGAGCCAACTTACATAGACAACATCAGAGCCAACATCAGAGCCAACATCAGAGCCAACATCAGAGCCAACATCATAGCCAACATCATAGCCAGTCTCATAGCCAACATCAGAGCCAACATCAGAGCCAACTTCAGTGTTTATCTGCCGATATCTAGCTGTGGAAAGTAATAAAAAAAATAACCTTTATCCAGTTCTGAGGAGATATTGTGTGACCAGCAGCACATGCCCAGTCGCTGACTATGTGTCCCAATCCCATTAGAGCATCGAGGAGAAGCATGCGTTGAGGATCCAGCATGACGGGATGGTGGAGAACCTGTGGTCTCAGTTACAGCAGGCACAGAGCAACTACAAGGAGGCCACAGAGGATAGTCTCATCGCCTTCCAGTTGCTGAGGAGCCGCGATCTGCTCAGCTCCAAGGAGATCGACACACAGATGAGGAAGATTCAGAAGATGCAGGTTAGTACAGGGCTCAAGAGGCTACGGCACCTGTTGGGTATTAAGGGGAGATCTGATTAAATACTACTGTCCGTGGATCCTCTTGGGTCAGCTCTCACTCTGAACCCAATAGACGAGGAAGACACATAGATGTTCATTACATTATTCTGAACTATGCAGTGTCTACAATGTGAAAATGTTAAAAGCTGCAATTGCTTGTTTTTACACGTTTTGTGCATAATCTCTCACGATATATATATATATATATCTCTGTATTCAGTGTCAAGCGGCATTAGATGTCGTTTTCCAGTGTACGTCTCCTCTCATCCCCAGGAGTCCATCGCAGCTTTACGCTCCAGGCTGAACTCCATCCAGAGGGAGAGCGTTGGGGTGACACAGGACCTGAGGACAGCCAGGGAGGAGGTGACTCTGCAGACCCACCAGCTCAGAGCCCAGCTGAGCAATGCCCGCGCGGCCGAGAGGAGCCAGCTCACCAACCTCAGCGTGTACAGCAACGGTGCCACCAAGACAGTACAGGGAGTCATCGCTAAGGTGCTAATGTGTATGTGTGTGGTGCCAATGCCAGCCAGGTTTGGGATGTCTGTGTAGGTATTCAGTAGACGGTTATGGTGTGGAGAGGTTAAACATGCACTTTAATGTTCACTTATTTAGGTGCATCAACTAACAACCGGTTTCTATCAAGGATTTGCCAAATTAAACATTTTCTTTGTGGTATGAATTAGAATTTCAAATGTGTGGAGCTTGTTGTTTTAGTTGTCAGAAGTCATCAAACAAAAGTGAAGTATGCAGTTGGTAGCTTAGTGGTAGAGTGCATGCTTTGTGTTTATGACGTCCTGGGTTCGAACCACACTAATAATTGCGCTCCCTTTCTGTTCTGTGTGATGTTGTGGATCAGGGGGAGAGGCTGCTACGTATGGCCGAGATGTGTCGGAAGCTGGAGACTGAACATGAGAAAGTCTTGCCCTTCTACACCTCCTCTCTCACTGCTGAAGAGGAGAGCCAGGAGAGAGCTTATGTTATGGAGCCTCCCTCGGAGGTGCTGGCACAGGTACAGGATTTTTAAACTCAAGTTATTCTCACACTCTCACACTATATATCTGATCTGAATCATTCTGTTTGCTTAGGCTATGCTGGAATACTCGATTCTGGAGCGGTTCTGGCAGCGATATAACAAGGTCCTGCTGGAGCAGCATTGTCTGGAACAGGAGAGAGGAGTTCTGACTGAGGAAAATCATCAGCTGCAGGGATTAGTGAAGCAGTTCCTGGATGGGATCTCCGTTAATGACGAGATCCTCCGTCATCACAACGCCCTGCTGATAGTGTCCCAGCCCACCCTCAGGGCTCCACCCACTGTCGACTCCCAACACAGGCGCCACACTGTCATAGAAGCGGCACACATTACCCAGCATACACTGTGACGACACACATACACAGGCGCCACACTGTCATAGAAGCGGCACACATTACCCAGCATACACTGTGACGACACACATACACAGGCGCCACACTGTCATAGAAGCGGCACACATTACCCAGCATACACTGTGACGACACACATACACAGGTGCCACACTGTCATTGAAGCGGCACACATTACCCAGCATACACTGTGACGACACACATACACAGGCACCACACTGTCATACACAGCCACACTGTCGGCACACATTACCCAGCATACACTGTGACGACACACATACACAGGCGCCACACTGTCATAGAAGCGGCACACATTACCCAGCATACACTGTGACGACACACACAGGCGCCACACTGTCATAGAAGCGGCACACATTACCCAGCATACACTTTGACGACACACACAGGCGCCACACTGTCATAGAAGCGGCACACATTACCCAGCATACACTGTGACGACTCCCAACACAGGCGCCACACTGTCATAGAAGCGGCACACATTACCCAGCATACACTGTGACGACACATATACACAGGCGCCACATTGTCATAGAAGCGGCACACATTACCCAGCATACACTGTGACGACACACACAGGCTACACTGTCATAGAAGCGGCACACATTACCCAGCATACACTGTGACGACTCCCAACACAGGCGCCACACTGTCATAGAAGCGGCACACATTACCCAGCATACACTGTGACGACACACATACACAGGCGCCACACTGTCATAGAAGCGGCACACATTACCCAGCATACACTCTGACGGCACACATGCACAGGCGCCACACTGTCATAGAAGCGGCACACATTACCCAGCATACACTGTGACGACACACACAGGCGCCACACTGTCATCGAAGCGGTACACATTACCCAGCATACACTGTGACGACACACAAATACAGGCGCCACACTGTCATAGAAGCGGCACACATTACCCAGCATACACTGTGACGACAGACATACACACGACCCGCGGCAAAACACACCATCACTTCTACTGCGTACCAAAAAGGGTTGAAGTTCATCGACTCGGATTAATCATAGAACATGGACTCCGTTTCCTTGAGTCCTCTTACTTATTCTACTTTTGTGTTCCATTGTGTGACATTATTTCTACTAAGTGTCTGAAGAAAACAATCAAATAAAAAAGAGGAACATTCCACTCATAATATACAAAATTCTCCCGTTATTTATTTTTTATTATTTTATTATTTAAATAGTCTGAAGAGCTAGCTTTATTTCTTCTTGCTCTTCTTATCCTTGGCCTTCTTTTTGCCTGGCAGCTGGGCTTTGGCCTTGTTATACAGGTACAATCCCACCAGACCGAGCAGTGTAGGCACCAACCCTAGACACACTAGTGGGAAGACATCGTTCACCATCTTCTGCCATGGCGTTGCCTGGATCAGCGACATCACTTCCACCTCAAACTCAAGAGCCGCATCGGCTAACAAGACAGGAGACAAGAAAACGGTGTAATTAATGCTGTGTGTCTGAGCTGTTATGTTATGCTGTGTGTCTGAGCTGTTATGTTATGCTGTGTGTCTGAGCTGTTATGTTATGTTGTGTGTCTGAGCTCTTATGTAATGCTGTGTGTCTGAGCTGTTATGTTATGCTGTGTGTCTGAGCTGTTATGTAATGCTGTGTGTCTGAGCTGTTATGTTATGCTGTGTGTCTGAGCTGTTATGTTATGCTGTGTGTCTGAGCTGTTATGTTATGCTGTGTACATGAGCTGTTATGTAATGCTGTGTGCATGAGCTGTTATGTTATGCTGTGTGTCTGAGCTGTTATGTTATGCTGTGTGCATGAGCTGTTATGTTATGCTGTGTGTCTGAGCTGTTATGTAATGCTGTGTGCATAAGCTGTTATGTAATGCTGTGTGCATGAGCTGTTATGTTATGCTGTGTGTCTGAGCTGTTATGTAATGCTGTGTGTCTGAGCTGTTATGTTATGCTGTGTGTCTGAGCTGTTATGTTATGCTGTGTACATGAGCTGTTATGTAATGCTGTGTGCATGAGCTGTTATGTAATGCTGTGTGTCTGAGCTGTTATGTTATGCTGTGTGCATAAGCTGTTATGTTATGTTGTGTGTCTGAGCTCTTATGTAATGCTGTGTGTCTGAGCTCTTATGTAATGCTGTGTGTCTGAGCTGTTATGTAATGCTGTGTGTCTGAGCTGTTATGTAATGCTGTGTGTCTGAGCTGTTATGTTATGCTGTGTGTCTGAGCTGTTATGTTATGCTGTGTGTCTGAGCTGTTATGTAATGCTGTGTGCATGAGCTGTTATGTAATGCTGTGTGCATAAGCTGTTATGTAATGCTGTGTGCATGAGCTGTTATGTTATGCTGTGTGCATGAGCAGGTGAGGCGGACCGGCAAGTCATCAAGGTGAGATTTATTTTGGGTTCATATTATTGAGTGTGTACATGTTTGTATAGTGTGTGTTTGTACAATTGTTTAGTACCTGGGATGGTTGGATGGTATCCTCTCTTTCCATAGGCAAGGTGAGGTGGAATTGTGGCCTTGATTTTTTGTCTGAGAAATATTATGACAGAGAGGTCATTCTTATATGTTTTCCTATTTTCTACTAATGATTTAAAGAAATCATTTTATCAAAGTAATTGGTGACTGGATCTTTGCGATTGCTTTACATGCCGGTTACATCTATATGATTAAGCCAGATATATTTAGTCGGAAGACAGCTTTTTTTTGTAAAAGTAAACATTGTAAGTAACTAAATTTAAGCAGTGTCCACTTTGAAACATTGTTTTGGCAGACCTTGACTGTTGGCTTACCCTTCACAAACTCCTACCAGGCTCTGTTCCAGACCTGTGAATGGTACATTATCACAAGTTATACACAGATTATTATGCGAAAACAGGAGCACTGCAATGCTATATTAAGATATTTTGCTGTTTGAACAAGCTAATGTTCTATTTGGTGGGCTCGATATGATGTCTAGCCCAGTACATCATAACACATTAGTGGTTTTACCAGGGATAACTGTCCTCTTTCCTAGCTCAACGACCAGAGGATCCCGCGGTAGTGAAGAGTCAATCACCTTGCCATCTGCCAGCAGTTTACCCTGTTCAGTGAATTGGAACAATACTAATGTTAGATGGGCGACAGGTTAAAAGTAGGATTTTGCATGCATGCAATTATTATTTCCTAAACAAAATGCTAAGACTACGACTAGCTTCCTCATCTTCCATTACCAAACAAGACTGGAATAATATTAGCTAGTCCTGGGTTGTTTAGGTGGGGTGGGGGTCATGGATTAATTGTTTTTTGTAGCCTTAAAAACATTTTGCATTTAAGTCAGTTAGCAGATGATCTTTAGTGCCATGTTCGGATAATTGAGCTATCCAGGATAAGCAAAAGACTGACTAGACTAGAGATAATGATTCGATTATTGTGTCAATAGGATTTTCTTGTTCACCTGGTGTCTTTGGATTGATATACATTTCGTATAATTTAAACAGCACACTTGAAATCGGTTTTTCATGTGGTCAGTGGACAGAGGGATAGCATGCTGTATCCATGCATTTGCGACAGACTATCACTCATTTTCAACGGAGTCAAGTTTGAATGAAATGCGACACACTTTGGGCGGTGTTAACCATCTCGCCTCCGTCATTAGAGAACTCCGGAGTCCCACGACTCACATAATGACGTGTGAGCTTCAGCACCGGAAAGTAAATTCTCTATACGGATCGAATAGTTAAAAACGTGGGATTGCATGTTGTAGAAGCGGCCAGAGAAATGTTCCCAGACGGCGAGCTCATATTGACCGACTTCCAAGTGGTCATTGGAATTTTTTTCAAAGGTCGGAGTCTACGAGTTCCACAGTGGTCATAAACGTGGCATATAGGACTACTGCCCTTGCAGCCCTTCAGTGCCAGAGCAGGAGTACTGACGTGTTGCCCCCCCCCCCTCCGTGCAAAAGCAGGAGTACTGACGTGTCGCCCCCCACACTGATGTAACAACAGTTGATTCGCATGGCGCCACATGGACACATCTATTATAAGTCAACGTGCAATGACACAACACCCAATCAATTTTAGCACTTTAATCAGATTTAAAAGTGTTTAACTTAAGTCATAGAATAGGATATGGCTGTCATAGTGAAACAGGGCGGCGCCAATAACTTTGAAATGGACAGATGTAGTCCACTCATTCTCCACGTTTGGCTTACCGTATAGTGGATGTGTACAGTGCTTACCGTATAGTGAATGTGTACAGTGCTTACCGTATAGTGGATGTGTACAGCGCTTACCGTATAGTGGATGTGTACAGTGTCTTACCATATAGTGGATGTGTACAGTGCTTACCGTATAGTGGATGTGTACAGTGTCTTACCATATAGTGGATGTGTACAGTGCTTACCGTATAGTGGATGTGTACAGTGCTTACCGTATAGTGGATGTGTACAGTG